GGTGTGATATGTATTTTTATAGCAGACGGAGACGTCTGACGATGTATGTGAAAGTTTCTTATTCTTTTAAATAAAGTTTGGATTTTGTTCAATTTTATTAATTTATTTTAGTGTAAGACTCATTCATACTTATATTTTAGGCCTTTAAAGTTTTAAAAATGAACACAAAAAGTTTTTCGTTTTTCTTATAATCTATTTCACCGACTAAATTCTTAAGCGCTGTTGGATAACGATGTCGTATCCTAATCCGAATCGAACGTTTGACGTGAATGTTCTGAATAGCTCGCAATGCTTCGTTCAATTCGAGAACGATGTATCGAACGGTTCAATTAAAATACCGAAGAGTTCTGAATCGGGCTGCTGAGATGGTCATTCGGCAATAAATAGGCAACTCGATTGCGTATTGTCTCGTTCAGCGAGTAGAGCCCTCGATGTTATACTGCTGCTGATGCCTGGGCAAGACGTGGAGTCTTCAAATCAACCCTTCGAAAATAAATTATGCTTTCTTACTTAGACGTCCGTCTATTGCGTAATAACGCAATAGATGCGGAAAATTGCGTTATTCCGCAATACAATATCATCTTAGACTAAAAGATTCCATTTCTTATTATAATTTAAGTAACTGTATCTTCACTTACGTTACTTACAATCAAATCTTTCAAGCATCCGACTGTGCTTTTTATGTCTAATTAGCATTGTCGTTCTTTCTTTCGTTCCACTTCCGTTAACAAATTATTTGGTAAATTATTTTTTCCGAAAACTAAATAATTCATCAGCATAGCACTATTATTGAGAAAACCGCGGGTGCCATGGACACAAACTCACGAAAGGGGCAAATAAATTTAGGCCATATAAAAAATATTTCTCGATATTAATCGAACCTGGGACCTCTCGAGTGACAGACCAAGATGGTAATCGTTCTTCCACACAGGCAGTTAAATTAAAGGCAAAAAAGGCCGTTTATAAATCAAGGGAATTAGTATAACGAAATACGTAATAAAATTGAACATTTACGTATATATTTGTTCAATTTTTACACATATTATCACAGTTGTCTCCCGATTATTTCAGAGACTACAAACGTCCACTTAATAGGTTTTTTTACTTACCTTTTTTCATATAATATCTCTTATTCTTAATAATTTTGTGTTGACCGTAAAAAAAACCGCTTGTTATTTATTACATTTTATTTTATTGAAAAATGCATACACATCTATTTTTGGTAAATGTATGATTATTATATATCCTATGAATACCAATTACATTATTATTCTTGTACGTACCATTATCATATAAGTGGAAGATATTATGTGATATTCTCTGGACAGTTATATAGTCCTAAAAACTAAATATTATTTGTATTTCGTTTTAGACATGAAAGACATAACCTTGTAAGTTTCTCTATGAATAGGTATGTGCCGATGATGTATCTAAATAAATAAAACAATTAAAGTAAGTAGCTTTTGTCATGGAACAATAACCTAGTACAAAATACTTTAAAAAATCATATGTACTTTTTCAGACGTACAGATTACAGAGGTAAATAACACATACAGGTATATTTAGCGTAACAATGTAAAATAACATAAAATAGTAATATTTGTTTTTCAATAAGAAGATATACATATAAAGTAGCATATAAATTAACTTTTAAGATGGATTAGGCTTTACAAAAAATCACAATTAAACAAAATGCATTTTCTTACTTTTTGTGACAAAGCAGAAACGTTTGAAAGTTAAAAAATTGCAACGGTTTAACATTGGCTAAATCAAACTTTAATAACAAAAAACTTTTTCAAGTAAAGTTTACGAAATTGACAAAAACGCAAAATTGCCTCGAACCTACTCTCGGCAAACCTATATTAGTAAAAAATTCAAAAACAAAAGATTAAAATAAGACGATAAATATTCAATTTTAAAATTAGACCAAAAGAAAAATAAAATAAACCAGCCAGTCTTTTGAAAAACCATAATTTTGGGCTTTTTGCTAGTTTACGGGACTCTAAATATACCGTGTATGTGTAAAGAATGTATACATATGTGTACACATAAACTTTATCATTCCAGGGACGTAAGTAGAGTGTAAGTTTCTTACAAGAAAATATTATTAATATACAATAGTGTCAGAACTGTAAATCTTTAGGATGATCGAAATTCCATACAATTCTTAGTGAAATTATTAAAAAAATATTCTAGTGTTACAAAGTACGTAATCAGTCATATTATGTGAGCTAATGAATTAGGCCGAGCATGGAGGGAATCGGACAACTTTTCAGACAGTATTTAGCCAAGAAACATATTTTTTAACTTAAATAAATCTTTTGAAGACCCTAAAACTGTTAGAACGTAATTTAAAAAAATTGCCGCGCAAGCGGTACCTACTGTCAACTCAGAACGCCTGACATCATTGGTAGGTAAACTGACCAATGTGCACTTGCCACTAGCTAGAATTTTTCATACTAATAGACTACTTTCTTTGAATGATAAATTTAAATGAGAAATTTATTTAATTAGCACTCCATAATTTAAAAAAGGCGAAAGAGAAAGGACAAGTTAATACGCCTACCTTAGATGATGGAAAGCGAACGTTAAATGCGGTGACGTTTCCTTGATTACCTACATATGACATTGCGTGGTGTCTGGTGCTTGCATAACAGATTTAAAATATTACAATTCAAAGTATTGTTTTACTGATCGTTTTTATTATACTAACGTTCTTTATTACTTCCTTTTTTTACTTTTGTCCGATTCCTATGGTATACCACCAAACTGTAGGGCACGTCGCGATTTCAGCGCATATAAACTAGCCAGTCAACTGAGGTACGCCTATACCATCTATTCCGTTAATGTTCTTTTTTTTTAATTTGAGCAATTACATAGTAGACAGTAAGCGTATCTCAAACAGTCATTCACATGTAATTCAACAATATCCAACCACTGCCGACGTGAATGTGTATAGAACGTTTAATGATGTACATTCGTTATACAACTTATAAATAAAGACTTTGTTTACACATATATTTCAAAATATGCATAAGCCTTATCGGAATGATTTAATAAAGACAATAAATAATTAAAATATATATAATTTAATAAAACGACATATTATATACCGTATATTATCATCACACTTTTCTATCTTATCTAAGTATCAATGGAAGATATTTGAACTAGATGATTTCGATTACGAATACAAATTATAATTAATCTTTACTTTTGCATAGCATAAATTTTGTGGAGCATTTACATAAACAGAAAAAATTGTGACTCAATTCAAATCGTACATAGTACAAACAAATATCAACGTTAGGACAAATGCTAGTAGAAAAATGTACCAAGGTTTACTGGATAAACAAGTGCTTGAACATTGGCACAATACCGTTCAATTTTTCTCATCGCGAAATGCGGCAAACAGCGGCGGCGCAAAGCGCTGCAGCTACGACAAAGCTATTTATCATTATTCAGAAACGGCTGTATCTCGCATCAGGTGCATCGCGAATACAATTTTTCAGTGATCGACTTGTAAGAAAAGTCGAAATTGCTTAGAAATTGGACGGCCGTCTATAATGCAGGTACCCTTTCAGTTGTGTATTGTTTGCCTAATGTAAGTTGTTCTTAGTTTGCCAGAAAGTATACAGATACCGTCCGATGGGATGTGGTTACTACCACTTTAATATCGCAAATGCGTTGATGTGTGTCAGACATAAGGTCGCAATCCTCATATGGCTGGAGTTGCATTGGTTCTCCTTTTCGTCGATTCGGTGTACAACACTGTAGTTTGGCAGTAGAAATAGAGCAATCATATTATTCAAAATAGAATATTGTATTGTAATTTCGGAACTTTAAAGGCATTTTTTTGGTAGGTTTTGGCTTCTATCCTACTGAGGACAAGCCAGTGACCGGGTTGAAAGATACACGGTATGCGACAAATTGTAACAGGAACGCACTCAAACGTCGATGATCAATTGCACAATCCATTAAGATGATCTTTAGTTTGAACAGAACTGTCACTAACAGGGTCAAAGAACACATCCCAACTGTATGGCTGTAATTCGCCAATGCAGTAAATCAGCGATTGTAGAACATATACTGGAAAGAGGAACAAGTCACTGGATGGAATTGTATTAAGTGATTCAAATTTAAGAAAATAACATCCAAATGATTTCAATCTGGAGGATAGAAGTTATCAGCAGCATGGAATTTGGTATTTTGCAAAAACTCAATATCGTTTCTCGCGATCAACTGATTATCAGAATATGGCTCAGGTATAGACTTCTTTGCTGTTGTGTATGGCAGTGAAATATATTGCGAGGGTGGACTACTCCACCGCCTAATTGGAAACGTAACATCGTACCTCCAGTGAACCTGCAAGCTACAATCAGTAAAATACATATAGTACAAAGCAACCTAGCTGAATCGTCGGGATACTCTCAACTTGAGGAGGGAACGTGGCGGTCAACTCCTAATGTATAAAGATGTTCAGAAGCGACATATGAGAAGATGTAAAATTGAGCCGTCTCAATGCGAGGATTTGGCAGCACTGGGTCCTGAATGGAGGGAAATTGTGAAGAGGAAAATTCACGAGTTTGAAGAGCAACGTAAGTCGTACTCGATGCCAAACCTGACGAGATAAAGGCATCAATGTGCACGAGGTCACTATATTAGTCATCTTCGAGTGCATCATCGCCAACCCAACTAGGAGTCAAAGCGGTTTGCCGTGACCGAACACGGTCAGATAGGTAGATGGTAGATAGACATAGGTGTGCAAAAACCTATTAAATAGTTTCATCGCGTTTGTCCTCGTTTTGTGATGTTAGCACTACCTGTTGTTTATCCAGATAAACCAGGTCTTCTTGTCCTTATACTCTATATTGATTTTTTTCTCAACATTCTGTTACACGTTCTGGATGTCTTCGCCAGTTGTAAATAAGTCTGTTGGTTGTTAAGTGAAAGTATATACTCACCTATTAGATTTTGAACGACTGAAATATGATGTATTATTACATGTATCATTTATTGTAAAATATTTATATATTTTATAAAATAGAAGATATTTTTGTTTTGACTTTTTTAGTACAAAAGTTTGACGGAATCCTTATGAAATCCCATTAGGGCTGGCACGACAAGGCGCGAAATGAGCGATAGCGACATAAAGCGCGAATTGCGCGATAAGGACATAAAGCACGTGATCTCTATATGAGATTGGCAGTATTGTAACGAAACGTTACAACGTTGTTAGAATAAATCGTTTTTCAAATTTAACAGTATTAAAAATTCAACACAACTATTGTCTTCAACAAATATGTCCTATTTTTAAATAATAATTGATTAAAACCATGATTTACCATAGACAAAATTGGTTAAATCTATGGCTATATTTACGTTGCATTTTCGAATGATGCAGAGTGGGAAAATGCGGTAAACCGAAACCGGCTCCGGCTCTGACAGACAGCGTGAGAACGTCTTCAGGGCTAGTCCACACTCGCCTTGGCCGCGCTCACGATATAAAAAACCGTTAATGTATTTTTAAATATGAAAAATGTTACTGTAAATCAAAGATTATTGCTTCCCAATCACATTAAACGTACTTCAATAGTTGTGAAAGTGAAAGTTATCGGTTTAGGGTAAGTTGAATGATACACAAAAAGAAAACACTTGTAACGCTTTTATTTGCTAATTTCATGTTTTGTATGGTACCATATATATATACAATTAGATTTGAACCAGAGTACCATACTCGGCAGCGGAAAACCTAAAGTCTTAAGGCACATTACCACGACCCTTAATAAATTCATGTACCGCCATTTTTTATTTGAAATTGTAATTTATTTATTTTTATTATAATTAATTCAATTATCGGAATTTCTCGTTTGATTTTCTACCCTCATAGGGAAAATAAAACTAGGGAATCGAACCCGGTACAGTATGACGAGCTTATTGTCGCTCTCGCGCTAGTCGCTGTCGTGCTAACCTTACCGGAATCTTTTCGATATGCACTCAATATTGTACCGTAATAAAAATTAAATATTTATAAATGCCATGAATATTTTCAGTTTACCACAAGGAATATAGACAAGTGCACTATATAAATAACCATTGAAATATTACGCAGTTTTTCAAAGAAATTTAGACATTCATTTATTATTAACAAATAGGTTGTTAAAACATTCATCTTAGCATAGAAATATAAAATATTCTAATGACTCTGACGCCTCTCAGCAACTCGTTTGGGTGGTTGGCCCTTACCTTTACTGTAGATAATGTCTAAGAATAAACCTGGAACAATAATCATTAGTATAAGATATTTAATACTTACAATATACGAGGGCGGTTTAATAAGTTTATTAATTATGATTTATTTTTCTACGTCTAGTCTCCTTTTAACTCTATTACACCTTGACCAGGGATGTCCCAAGTTCTTCAACCCATCAAAAAAAGTATTTTTTGTCAAACTGAAAAATAAGCTTCTGTTTCAGCTATCACTTCTTCATTCGATGCAAATTGGTAAAATATCAAATAAAAACATCGGTACCTAGTGTGGCAAAAGTTCATACCATAATTCGACAAGTTCGGATGTTCCGATTACAAATGAGAAACGGAATACGCGAAATCCTGCTTTCTCCCTCTTCAAAAAATATATCGAGCTCACCTAACATTTTCATTTAAATTTTTTTATATTCGTGCTAGTTTTAATAAAATCGCTTAGTAAGGATTTCTAAATTAAGAAATAAAAATAAATTCTCAACAAAGTTTTTATTTAACTTTAAAATCAAGTTTTATTAAACCGACCTCGTCGTTATATAATAATAATTGGTGTCTTTGTTATCGTTTAAATCTATACGTATTGTTTATCGAATTCTTAGATTTTCACGATTGCTATACAATAAAAATGAGACTAATTTTACAGATCTAAATGTTTGTATGTTTGTATATTTGTTTCTTCAAACAAACCAACGTTTCGGGCTCTTTACACGTCCAATTGCGCGGCTGATTGCGATGATATTAGTTATCAACAAGTTGCATGAACGCAAACCATGAATGATGAAATAATTATATTTTAACTACATCATTTTGTAAAATATTTTATCAACATGCACTGAAAAAATAAAATATACACGACTTAGATCTGAAAAAATTAGTTTGATTTCCAATCGTATCACCTGTTTTAAGGCCCAAGTGCGATTACACACGGCGACTGTTAGCAGTGCGTCTGCAGCGATGCTGTAGCGATGCAATCGCTAATCATCAAGCAGCGATACAATCGCGATGCATACGCGATGCAAACGCGATGCGGTCGCAACTGCAGTGATACGATCGCGATATAAACGCGACACAGTACCGTAACCGTTTCCAAATCGCTAATATCGCAATGAAATCAACGCGCTTTTTATTATCGCTGCTAAAAGTCGCCGTACGTAACCGCTCAAAAAGAAAAATATTAAATTTTTAAATGGAATAGGCGATATGATAGTATTTTCCAGTTATGGTAGTCGGCCGAAGTCAGGGCGACCGGTTCAACAACCCGCGAACGACACGTGCCTATATGAAGCAGCACCGCTTTCTGCATTTATTGTCACTAGACATGTATTATAGGGGTGTCTTCTACCAGTAATTGTTCTGCGTTCACCATCATTCACAACTCTTTTTTTTTTATCAAGTGGCGGGACGAACAAGTCGTGCGCCTGATGGTAAGCTACACATCTGTCCATAACAGTTGCAGTGCCACTCAGAGCTTTAAATCGCAAAGATCTGAGGGGCACTGCCACTGCGCCAGTCACCTTGACACATAAGTTGACAAGTCACATGTGTACAGGTACACCAGCACCCTTATCCTTCAAAACCGGAACACAGTAATGGCGACATTAGTGCTTGGTAGCAGAAATAGGTAAGGTGGCAGTACTTCCCTGGACGAACTCTTGCACAAGGAACTCTACTGCTACTAAAACTCGGACTCCAGATGAAGAGTACTAGAACTAGAACTGAAGAATTTTCATTCGGTTATTGTAATCCGTGCAGGCGATTCCTATAGTCGTTTAACGGACTCGTCTAGACTGAGCAATCGTGAGGGGTGTGCGAGGCTAGGGATTCGAACCGCCATACCTCGTTCGGGACATACAGTTCAGGGTTGCCGCATTTAAGTAAAATATTTCGTGAGAGTGTTGTAGTGATATGTTGGAAAATGGTACATACTACATGTGCTGTTAGAGACAGACGAGACTAATGACACAGAGAAGACTAAATGACTTACCACTGAAGACCAAAATGGCGCCAATCCATTGACGCATCATCAGGACGTTTCCAAATACAATCACAGACGCCAAAACCGTGAAGAACTTCCGGGTAGTCGTCACAACAGAGCAGGGCAAGGGACCGTACTTCGACACCTGCAATTTGATAGCATAATTTTTTTTAAATCCGTTTTGTCACCAATACGGATTATTTTTAAACTAATTTTGTAGAAGGAGCGCATTGCAAAGTATCTATCACATACATTGATTTGTAAAATTTAAAGACTTGCTAAACTTTGTTTGTTTTCTTTTTGGACTTCCTAAATACTCAAAGTGATGTTCAATGCAACACCATTATTGTTTTTTTAGAAAACAACCAAACTACTGCTTTGGTACATATAATTATATATTAGACAATATACATACGTGGTTTGGTTGGTGTGACCCCAAAAGTAAGTAACTAAAGTACTTATGTTACGGAAATCGGAAACAACGACGGTACCGCAAACACCCCGACCCGACGCAATATAGAATATTTAGTTTTTTTTTACAATAACTCAGCCGGGGATCGAACCCGGTACCTCATGAGATGGCGACATCATGAAAACCAGTGCGCAAGCCACTCGACCACGGTCGTCGAATAATTAAATAACTTTTACATCTTCGTGTGGGCACTGAGATGGTATAACCAGAAATAGAGACGAAATATGGGCCATACATTCCTGGTAACACATCAGTGATACATCAATTAAAAATATCAACTCTCGTTTGCACTGAAATAGTATAGCGCCAACAACTGACCTGTGTGTACGTCTTTGTACATTCCAAATAATACTCTGTATTTATTGTAATAAAGATAACATCTCTAATGATGGCGTGCCGTTCTATTCGGTGGTGGAGGAAAAACAGCAAAAAACATGTAATTACAAAACAAACGGAATCATATTTCATCGGTAATTAAATATTAAATATGTAATTTTTAAATTTTCATTATAGCATAGCTCAAGTAAAACTGGTAGATTTAAAGTAAAACAATTGACCCATGAATGAATTGACACCCATCAATTGTTTCAAATCATTCATGAGTCTTGCTTCCACCTAATGCAACTCCCATTACGTTATCTCACTCTATTCATTAGGCATGCGTTACTAATGTTGCACTGAAAAAATCATAATGTGTATCGATATTTACAAGTATAATTATTACTGTATAATTATTTATTTAAACAATTGGTAAAGTAAAAAAATCTTCATCTAACGTCGTCGTAGTTAAGTATTGAGCCATAAGTATAATGTATCGATTTTATAAGTATGTCAGATTATGCACAAGAAACACTAACTATTGTGTAATAGATTGTAGAATTGTAGGTATGATTTAGTAGATGACAGACTCTCTAGAGAATCGTTATTGTAATCGTCCAATTTTTATTGCTAAGGAAAATTGTTTCTGTTTAAGACTACATTTATATATATATACCTATGGGCAGTTAGTGTTGTGTACTGTCAGTTGTTTTGTTGAAAAAGTACCGAAATAAACTTAGTATTTTTGTATTGTTTTTTGAAGATTTCCTAAGGAACCGGGTCTTAAGGAAAAATGGATTGCGTCCATGAAAAGGGAACACTGGTTTCCAAGCAATTACAGCGTCGTTTGCTCTCGGCATTTCACAGAAGACTGTTTTTATTCAAAGAACATTTGCCACCGTTTATTTGATACCGCAATTCCTACACTGCATATGCCTGTAGCAGTAAGTGTTATACGTAATCCGTTGAATTTAACTTTATTAAACTTGTATAATATATAATAATATAACATAATATTTGCTTGCCCAACTGTAACGTATATTTCGAATTCGAGCTGGCCAATCGGAGCGCAGTTGTCACCAGTAGTCATTTGGCAGAATAGTTTTCTAACAAAATAAATGACTTTTCGTCTCTATTTCGGGTTATATACTCGATGTGTTAGATAAACGTTTCGTATTACGATTTCTTATGGACCGACAAACGACAATAAAGATCAACTTTTTTTACCAGTTTGTAAGACCCATTTCCGTCTTTCGCAAAAATATTCCCAAAAAGTTGTTGGTACAGACACCCATGTGGCCCAAATTATTGATTGGTACAAATTATTTACAAAGTACTCACCATAAAGAATATGAAAAGTTGTCCCAAAGCACCACATAACGCGAGCCCGGTTATGTAAAGTAAAATTTCCGGATGCTGCGATACGAAAGCGAAGAATTTGAATAATTCGCCGCTAAGTACCACGCCTATTGACAGTATCAATGAAGACCTGTAAAATCGACATATTATAACATGTATAATATAGTATATTTAACATCAAACCAAAACACATTCGCACGAATTAATCAGAGTAATGACAAGATTAAAATTAAATAATGAATACTTCGCTGAGCGACTTCAATTTGCAATAAAACAGGCTCTCAGATTGTAAGTACACACTTAAATAATTCGACAAAAAAAATTGTCTACGCGTTGTGTTCGTTACTGAAATAAGAGACACATACCACCAATTTGTATTAAGCATCATGGAATAGCCAGATGGTGAATATTCAGCTTTTATTCTTTCCTGAAAATTGAATGGTAAAAGTTATTAAAATATATTCCAGATCTCTATATGTGGGATCACGCGAGGCAAATAAAATATTTAAATTAATAAATAAACCTGTAGGTTTATTAAACCTGTAGGTTTATTTATTAATTGTATTGTAACGGTATTGTAACTGTATTGTAAATACAGCTACTGAATAAACTATGATTTATCAATAAATATTGCTAGATTCTTTATTTTTAACGCAATAAACAAGTCAATTCATATCACATTTCCATTATCAAGGCTTTTCAAACCGTATGCAGTCTCATATCCCTGCAACCAATAACTTGATCTGATAAGATAGTCACAAATTAAAGTTCGGAGCCGACAGTGACAAGGTAAACAACTATACTATGTCTAGAGTATGTCCATCAATAGGCGTCAAGCATAGGTGTCGTATTCGAATCGTGTTAAGTTGTGCTAAGTTGAAGATGAAGACTGTACTCTCTTACAATACTATTGCAATAATATATAGGCTGCTCCAGTACAGGCTGGCCGAACTGAATATTGACGCTCAGGGTTGTCACCTAGTTGTCACCGTTCGAGGACACTGCCAAAGCACCATATTACCACTTCTTACACAAGATAAAGAGCTATCCATAAATGCAGAAAAGACAACCTACTCTTATTCACTAGGAAGCGGAAACTAGTCGAATGAATCCACAGTGGCAGGGTTATAGGACTTTCCGCAGACGTTAAATATCTGGGGATAACACTAGGTCAAACCCTAAGGTCGAACTGTCATCTAGGTAACATGGTTAACAAAGTCAATAGGGCCTTGGGTACATGCTGTCATATGACAGGATAGCTTTGGAGTCTTTTTTTTTTTTTTTTTTTTTTTTATTAAAAATGGACGTACTCTTGACCACTACCTAGCCCTAGAGCAAAGATGATTGCGTCCATTTTTGATGGCTCTAAAACCAAAGATGATTCTTTTGTCTTGTACAACAGACAATTATAAGGTGTATAGTTACAAAACCTCTGCTGCTTGGAGTGCCAAAGTCAGCCAAAAGACCATTATTGCATTAGGCAGTCTACAGCGTACTTACTAGCAACAGGAGCCATGTCCACTACACCCCAGCGGGCCTTAATGCTTGAACCTGAGTCTTCTGCATGTATTCATACAGAGGGAGGTCCTGCGAAGTACCCCCATGCAGTTTTACAACCAGGTTAAGTATTAGGCTCTCCCAGACATTGAAATCAACTCAAGATATCTGATGTCATGCTTCCAAAGCAAAGGTAAGAAATTCTATCAGGTACAATTTCCAACCAGTGACGATTGGGAAACCGTCTCACCTGAGAGACTACTGGCCTTCTTTGGTATATCAAAGGGTCGAAGGTGGGGCCAAATATATTTTGTGATATACACGGCTGCAACCCAGGCTAAGCTACAAGCAGAACATGGGTTGGTACTCCTCCATTTTCCAGGCTGAAATGTATGCCATAGTTGCTTTCCGGATTTGAACTACCGATATATTTTCAGAAACTCGAACATCCAAGCGGCTCTACATGCACTAGCCTTATATACCCAAACGTCGAGAATTGTAGGGAACTGTGTAACTATACTGAATATTCTCGGGGAAAAGAATAAAATGGTCCTGCTCGGTTCCAGGCCACACTGACTTCGAGAGTAATGAGGCAGTAAATGAGCTGTCAAAGACTGCTGCTAGGGAAGTGATTATTGTTGGTTGGTTGGTCCCGAATGCTTTATAAGGATAGCATACAGCCTGGTAAAGTTCATTATGCCGCACGGGAACACACCTCGCTGCCGACATGTCACATCTAACATCTGGCTTCAGACCAAGGGTCTTGGTCATTCAAACGCACTGATAATGCCTATAGTGCTATAGAGAAGTTCTAGCAGCTGGAGCAGAAGTAAGCAGTAATGGCATCAGTGGTGGCAATAGTTTGAATGAGTCACGAGGTACAATGCTGCCCTTTAATGGGCGAAGCTCTATACTAGGAAGGCACAGGCCACACCCAGAGGCCACAATCAGGACAGTCAAAACCAGAAAAATCCTTCAGTTCTTTAACACTGTTGGTGTTGACTCTGAATTGTAATTAGTAGTGATCAAAACAAATCAATTAATAGTCACTGTGACGAAGGGCAGTATCGGCCCTGAATTAAGCCACTCGAATAATAATTGCTGAGAGCTGAACAATTTTTCTTTACACACTCATAGCCCTGCGTTAGGGAAACCTTGTATCGCGGGTGCCATGGACATGGACAACCACTAAATTACACCCAAACTCACGAAAGAAATAAATGTAGGCCATACAAATATTTCTCTCCGCCCGGGAATCGAACTCGAGACCTCTGTGTGGCAGTTCAGCATGGTCACCGTTCGGCCACAGAAGCAGTTACATCATTATACGATTAATAGTGGAAAAATGAGTGATGACAAAAAATATTACCTGCACAGCACCAGTTAATCCATCCATGGTCAATGAAAGCAGAAGGAGCACCTCACCAATGCCAAATCTTTGGGGATTTCCACCTTTCTTAGCTTGTTCCTTAAACATGAATAATACCACTCCAATGACAATAAGCAGAATGAAAAAGTATTTCTTCAAAGGATAGGATTTGCGCCCAAGCAGTACTCCAAGGACCATTACAGGTATTGGCTTTGCTGCCTTGCCGACCACCTGAAAATAATAGACCAATTAAGTTACTATTTATTTTTACATATAGATAACTTCGCAAAACTTTGTAACTCTGTAAAATAATAAAATTATTTTTTTGTGACATTGAAGTACTTTTGGACCTTCATGTGGCGGTCCCAGTATTGACTTATGACATCAATATGTATTGTGAGTAGATGTAATACAAAAATTTAAAAAAAAAATCCTTTCATTAAAAATTTGAATCCAATTTGTCAGCCTTTGCCGACGGAGATTAATTTTCCTTAACCCTAACTTAAATTTCCTTATTAATTAACACCACTTCTGAAAAAACTGATTAAATAATAATCTCAGTACAGAGTACTAAAAACCCGACCTCAAAAGTACGTGGAATTACATATCATTACCAAGTTTTATTGAAATCGGTTACGGAAAGTGCGCAAACCCGGATACATTCCCAGTTCACCACTATACGGGACTTGACACAGGAGATAATAAAAATCGGGTTCACTATTCAAAGTATATTGAGAAAAAGAACGCCTTGAAGTGGAGAATAGCAAAATCAACCATTAAAATAGCAATTACCTTAGAATAAAATTTAGGCGCTATTTATAAAAATGAATCTTCATGCGTGAACAGCCAACCGTTAGAGGTGGATGATTTTGTTCAAAATTAATTGAGATCACTATGGAGGTATCCTCTTTCCAACAAAGAAAGAATCATGAAAATCGGTTCACAAATACCGAAGTTATTGCTTAACATACTTACAAAAAGAAAAAAACATAGTCGAATTGAGAACCTCCTCCTTTTTTTGAAGTCGGTTAAAAAACAAGGTTGGTTTTTAATTAGGCGCGCTGATTGCGCACTTAATTAAAAACAAACTAATTAACTTACTTGGGTTGGATAATTGACCCATTGCAAAGCCATGTTGGAACTGACCATGCCTAGCAGATAAGTAAATGCTGATGCGAAGTAGTACATTATCCGAGTATTATCAACTTCATGGTTACCCGAGAACTGTAAAGACAAGTTTAGTTAATATTAAAGATTTAGGTGCACAAAATATATGTATTAATACTTATGCCTAGCAGAGAGGACATTTGCCGCAAGTTTAGATCAAATATATTATGATCACTTAATTTAATGGAAGACAGCACTAAACACTGAAATTCTGATCTCTGTTCCTGGGGATTATGCGAAATGAATACCTATAAACAAAGTAATGGAACAAAACAACTCCACTAAGCACCAAGTTGAATTTTTTCATTCCTCAGGACTCAAGGCCTGCTTATAAAAACAATATAAATTTTGGCATATCCATTATGCTCTGCAGATATTTAGGCCCACCAAACCAGTGCAGTGGCATCAAATTATAAGTTACAACTAAATATCACAGAAGCCAAGACTTTAACTTGCCCACAACCATGGACAGGTTGGCAAGATCTTTGGAATAAGCAAAAATTGTATATCTGTGGAGAAATAAGTAAATAAAAATAAAATAACATGTGGCATGTAGCATTTTCATACCCTGCATTCCACTCATACACATTTTTCTGTTTCATATTAGTAGTCTCCACTCAGCTTATGTTACGTGCTACCACCAACAAAGTGCTGGGTAAGTTGCCTTGGCATCAGGTTCATAATGACCATGGTAAAATAAGACAAATATGGTAACTCCATATTAACGTAGCAGTGCGGCTTCTGTAGACGCTCACATTCACATAATATCGCGGTCCAAACTCGTTGCATAGCACAAATAGTCGCACACTACATTAAATTATAGAACTGATACAGTCACTCAGTGTTTAAAAAGTTACATAGCATAGTAGACATGTTTGTTGTTGTGTTTGTAGTAGTTTGAACAAGAGAACTTCAAACTCAGAATTGTTCAGCATTTCATTTCTATTTCATAATCACACTCCCATAACCAAGATACCAAACATAATGCTGGTAGAAAAATATCACTATGTAAGTACCTACTGCATTTAATAAAGGTTATTTCTATGAAGCACAAAAGTAGAGGTATTTAACTAAATGTAACAAGCTTACGCTCCAAGCAAAATGTAGGCATTTATGCAGCGACAGGCGGGATTTCTACTTGCTCTTATTACACTATGCCAATGCTTTGTTGCATGTTAGCAATTCAAGGAAAGTGTATACATTCTTCTTCTTCTTCTTTTTAGTTATTTTAATTCCTTTTAGGAATTCAGCAGTATCAAATATTCTGCTACCAAGTCATTTTATGGGTAGGTTCTGCTATTCAAAAAGTTTTGTGGGTGACTTTGTTAGCGAGAACAAACAATCCCCAATGGCTGAACATCTAGTATAACAAGAGGTCAATGCTCTGTTTGACATTGTACTCTTTTCTTCCGACAGCATCATTTTTGTAAATGTCAGACTAATTATCAAGTTATATGCAGAGTCGCATCTATAAATTTCGTCTGTTTGGTTCAGTGGTTATATGTATAGTTAACTGACAAAACCAGCTAGTCAACAATTTCTTTTCAATATATTCGAAGGATACGTACGTGATACGTTATAATAAGCAGAACTTACCATCAATACCCTTGCAAATAGGTAGTTGACCATACATTGAACCAAAACTAATGCGAGAGCACAGGTAAATTTTTCGCCATCATATTTACCTCTCGTGATTTTTTCTTGTAACATTCCATACATAAAGTAACAAATAAATATACAACCGGCGTAAAACATAAATCTAAACTCATTTCTGGACAAAATACTCATGTTTGCAGTAGTTTAATAAACTTGTGGAAAAAAAGATTAAAGTACAAATTTATAAATGAAAGTCTTGTTAAATAACAATGTTTAACCTAAGTAACTAGAGTCTAACACTAATGTAGCACAATTTTGAGTAAAGAAACGGCCACGTAATAATTTCTAAAACGAAAAACAGCAAATACGAAAACTACACGTCTTCACTTTCTTTAAACTTGTAGTGTCAAACTGTCAAACCTGTCAAGTGTCAAATGGCTAAAATGCTGTGTTCGGGTTTACACGATTTCTCACCTTTATTTTTTTTCCATCCTCTAAGTTTCTCACTTAAGAACTGAAGACAAATTACTTACGACCATTATTCAAAATAAAAACAGAACTCAAAAACAATTACAATTTGATTTAGAGATATAAATAAATAAATAAATAATGTTCAAAAACCTGAAGTAAAAATTCTACTTGTCTACAGTTATCTGTGAATAGAACTTAGTAAAACAGTACTTTCAGTAATCGATAGATGGCGCTTATTATAATTTTTTTTTTACTGTACTGCATGCTATGTGTAGTGACTACCCCAGGCAATTTGGGGACGCTATAGTACCAAGTACTACATAATTCCTATTAGACTTGATAGATGACGCTGCTTGCCTATACACTAAACGTGAAACTTGTAGAGCAGCCAAACTTCGATTTAAGTCTTATTTACAATAGCGAATGTGCGTGTAAACAAGTTCGATGTAGTTGCATGGACCAATCGCATTGTGAAAACAATCAATACATATTTATTACTCTATAGCATAGGAATGATGATTACTTCGTCGGCGTCGCCATAACTGATTTTCATCCACTCTACATAATTTACATTCAGGTCGCGTCGAACGGAACGTACCGAATAGTAAGTGAATACTAACTGCAATAATCAACTCTATTGTGTAGACTCAAAGGCTTTTCACATCATATACTTGTTATGGCCTTCAAACTTATAAAAAAATGTTAGAGCTGTGATGCAGATATGCACGGAAAAGGTTATTTAATGTTGTTAGGCATTGCTTAATGCCGTTTGACAAACGATTTCCGCTCTAAGTTAAAGAAATTTATTTTTAAAATTATCACTGCTCGAAAATAGCTTGCCCACTTCAAGTTAATTTTGAAAATAAATGTTTACTTCGCAAAAGTTAAATGAACCATGGTACGTATAATAATTGCTAATCTTGTGATTTGCGTGTTTTCTCGGAGTGCGCGATATTATAGACCTTGATGTAAGTTATGTAAAACTTGAGTGTGTGTGTTTCAAACTTAAGTTAAAGACGGGATTGTGTTGTGATGATAGTTAAGTAATAATCTCTCGTCTAGAACGTGAACTTGAAGGTTAAGTTGTCATGCGATGACATAATATAATGCGCCAAATTCAACAAGTGTTTCCGAGTAATATTCGTCCGTGACTCATTGTAAGTAACACAATACGGCTATGCTTATAGGTGAAGAATAACGATGTATTGTATAGTTTGTAGGTTGTAGTAGGTACCCAAATGTAACATGTCTGTATATAGCCCAAGTTCTACGAAAATCACTTTTTATACATATATATATATATATATATATATATATATATATATATATATATA